TTTGATGACATGGGAGAACCACAAGATGGTGCTACTGAAATCTACTACGATAGCAAATCTGCTATTGCAATGGCAAAGAATCCCATATTTCACAGCAGAACCAAACATATTGGCATCAAGTATCACTTTATCAGAGAAGCAGAAGGAAACAAAGAAATAGAGCTCAAACATTGCAAAACTGAAGAACAGTTAGCTGACGTATTCACAAAGGCTCTACCAAAAGGCAAGTTCGAATTGTTACGAGACATGATTGGAGTTGCTGAAATGTGCACCAAGGAGGAGTATTAAATGTTGGTACACATTTTTCAGAAGTCGTTAAATGAACTCTCTCGAAGATCAGTAAAGATAATCTATTTTCAATGTTTTTGTTTCATTCCAATGTAACTCATTGCATCTTCCAAATCTAGTTAATTCCCAAGGTCTGTCAATTCTTCTCCCAAGGTAATTAATGTCAGCCCAAGTCCAATGTAAGTCGGTTCACCTTCAACCGACTTCATCTAGTATAAATAGACCTCTGTACTGGTTCGATACATTAGAGAGAAAAATCAAAATACTACAAAACCTTTCTCTCGTTCAACCAAGTTCTACTCTGTTTTTTTCTATCTTATTTTTTTTTTTACAGTATTTGCTGTTACTATCATTATCAACCATCAAACCCAATGGAGATGATCATGGGAAGCGGGTCTCCAGTGGGTTCAGACCCCGCGAAGGTATCTAGAATCGGCTTGATTCCACAGTACACCAAGGACGAATTCCCAAGAGGCTCTGATACCATGTGAAAATCATTGTACAGAATTATGTGTCTTATTATGCAAAGTACAATCATATATATATACAATCTATACCTAAATTTTAAGAATAGGAGACTCATTTATAGTAGGAACCTAACCTACTAATCACATCTAACTAAAGACGCTAGAAAACTACCAGGAATCTGTGCATATATACATGCATGAGAGGATAAGATACATGTTGAGTGGAGTTACCATGCAAGGATTTGAAATAAGATCTACCAATTTTTGCACTAGAAGATGACAGAGTTGTTGAGATACAGGGAGCTGCAGGGTTGCACAAGGCTGTTGAGCTAATTGCTTCTTATCTCAGGCAATAGGATGTACCAATTTTTGGTCGTCCAGATGACGTCACACTTTGACTACGCTTTCTGCGTTCCTTCGAAACTTCGAAGAAGCAGTCCACTAAAGCGAAGTTTCCCCCGCGCCGCGCCAACCACTATTATAAAAAACTATATTCCTTTACGGTTCCTTCCACCCTCTAAAGAACTATAGTATATTCTCTCCATGGTTCCCATCCGCTTCTAGTCTCGTGCTGTGTCTTGTGTGTGTCATATTTCTGGTTTTCTTCGCCGAACTCCGGTTATTCCTTGATTCCTTCTTGAAATCTTGAGTTGAGGTCAGGTCGCTGGGTGTCCAAATGTCTACCGACCCAAGTGAATCACCCCATAACCGATTGAGCTTTGCTGTCTCAACAAAATCTTCTTCTCTTTCTTCAGGTGTCGTCACGAGAATATATCGGCTCTTCCCCATGTTACGCTTGCAGTCTCGGATCATCATTCCTATTGAAACCACCGACGTTAACAAAACAGCCCTGGCCAAAATGGTCAAAGAGAGGAACTTGGAACAATTAAAACAGTATGGCGGTATCCAAGGAGTTGCTAAGGTTCTTGACGCCGATCTTGTTCAAGGAATCCCGGGTACCCCCGGCGATGTTGATAGCCGCCTTAACGTGTTTGGCTCCAACAGGTGCCAACCACCCAAAAATCAAAAGGGTTTCTTCCATTTTGTGCGCCAAGCTTTCAAAGGTACCACCATTCTCGTTCTTCTGAGCTCTGCTATCCTATCTCTTTTCTTCGGAATCAAGACACATGGGTGGAAAGAGGGGTGGTGCGATGGTGGGAGCTTACTGTTTGCCGTCTTTCTAGTTGTTGCTGCGTCCTCAGCGAGCAAATTCAGACTATCAAGACATGTTCAGAAGTCATCGAGCATCAACAGCAATATACAGATTGAGGTCGTCAGAGGTGGGCAACCTCAAAATATCTCCATTTTCGACATCGTTGTTGGAGATATCATACGTCTAAACTTTGGAGATCAAATCCCTGGTGATGGTTTGCTCTTGGATGGCCAGTTATTACGGGTCGACGAATGGAGCATGACTGGGGAAAGCAAGTTTGTGGATGTCGATGCCAATAGCAAYCCATTCCTCCTGTCAGGTGCTAAGGTAGTGGCCGGCCACGGTAACATGCTCGTCACCTCCGTTGGCATCAACACGGAGTGGGGACAGATGATGAGCTCTATCGGCCATGACCCAGATCAGCGAACCCCATTACAAGCTCAGCTCGACGAACTAGCTTCTTTCTTGTGCAAGGTTCTTCTGCTATTTCCTTTCCTTGCTCTCGTGGGAATGGGGGTGCATGACTTCATCAAGAACCACCATGAATTAGACGGATGCGACACCAAAATGAACAATCTAGTGAATGCCTTGTCAGGTGTGCGGGGGTTTGTGTCTGTAAACGCTGCAGTCGCTATAGTGGTGGTGGCAATTCCGGAAGGCTTGCCACTGGTGACCACAAACGCTCTAGCTTGTTCCATGAAGAAAATCATGGCTCTACCAATAATGGTTCAGAGACTTTCTGCTACTGAGACCATGGGTTCAGCCACCATCTGTGTGCTGACTTTGAACTCAGTGGTCAGTGAGTTTTGGCTCGGGGAAGAACCAATGAAGGACGAGACCTTGT